GTGATGGTAAGGCTAAGCTAATACTACTCTGGAATTTGAACAGGGAAAAAAGAATAGATTCAACCAGTGGAAATCAACAAGCAGAGAAGATACTGGAAGAGATGCAGAGATGCCACACTGCTGAGAGTGATGCCAACCCTGAGAGGCAGGAGGAGAGACATCAGAACTGCCAGACTTGGTCAGGCAGCTGTTGCTGCATCTTTACGATCAATACCTACTACCTTGGTGCCCTGCAAGCGTGCTTCCCTGTATATACTGCTAGTCATACTTTTTTTTTTCTCTTAGCAAACTTTGTTTCTTGGGATGACCAACTAGGGTCAGAGATTTATTTTCAGAATACTTAATAAAAGTACTAAGCAAAAATAAAAGAATTATGAAATATTAGTACATTATTTCTTAAGAAAAAGTTGTCATAATTTACATTGCTCTATAAATTTTAGGAATTGTGGCTATTATTCAAGCATTCGATGACTAGTAATTGGAAATCCTATTATTTCTAAGAACAGTTGTTAAGAATAGTACTGAATACATTTGTAGGAAAGTACACCTCTTTGAAACCTTTTTTTCCCAAACATCTTTAGGAAACATGTAACATTACAGATGTAGCATGCCCCAAATCTAGGACCATAACCCCACTAGGTTTGATATTTGCATTTCCATTGAAGATTATTAATATTCACCCAGCACATTCTTGAGATTTATTAAAAATGTAGCCATTAACCAAAGGCCCTTGGGGTATATGTACAAAATTAGAGAACTGTAGTATTCAGTCAAATACTACATTAGCAATATTACTCATGAAAAAAAATGCCAGTGGAGCTCTGTCCATTAAAAGATAGTCAGACTTAGGCTTCCCTGGTGGCGCAGTGGTTGAGAGTCCGCCTGCCGATGCAGGGGACACGGGTTCGTGCCCCTGTCCGGGAAGATCCCACATGCCGCGGAGCGGCTGGGCCCATGAGCTATGGCCGCTGAGCCTGCGCGTCCGGAGCCTGTGCTCCACAATGGAAGAGGCCACAATAAGTGAGAGGACCGCGTACAGAAAAAAAAAGAAAAAAAAAATTATTTCCTGACACAGATAGTACAAGAACTCAACTCACAAGAAAATCTGCCCATCTCTTCATTAAAACGCATTTTTAGAATCCAACACCCTTTCATGATAAAAACACTCAACAAACTAGGTATACAAGTTCCTCAACCTGATCGCAGGCATCTATGAAAAACCCACAGCTAACATTATACTTAATAGCGGAAGACTAGAAGTTTTCCCTCTAAGATCAGGAATAAGAAAAGGATGTCCATTCTCACAACTCTTATTTGACATTGTACTAGAAGTTCTAGCCAAGGTAATTAGGCAAGAGACGAAAGAAAAGGAAGTAAGAAGTAAAACTATCTCTCTTTGCAGATGACATTATCTTATATATAGAAAACAATTTTAAAAATCCTCAAAAATCGATTAGAACTAACAAACAAGTTCGGCAAGGTTATAGGATACAAGATCAATATACAAAAATCAGTTGCATTTCTATACACTAGCAATGAACACTCTGAAAAAGAAATTAAGAACACAATTCCACTTATAATAGCATCAAAAAGAATAAACACTTAAGAGTAAATTAAATCAAAGAAGCACAAGACTTGTACACTGAAAGCTATAAAACATTGGAAGAAATTAAAGAAGACTTAAATAAATGGAAAGACATCCTGTGTCCATGGATTGGAAGACTTAGTATTGTCAAGATGGAAAAACTCCTCTAATTGATCTACAGATTCAATGCAATCCCTATCAAAATTCCAACTGCCTTTTTTGCAGAAATGGACAAGCTGATTCTAAAATTCATATGGAAATGCAAGAAACCCAGATAGCCAAAACAGTCTTGTAAAAGAAGAGGAACTCATATTTCCTGATCTCTAAACTTACTCTAAAGCTACAGTCTTCTATGTGGTTTTGGCATAAGAGTACACATGTAGATCAATGGAAAAGAACTGAGAATCCAGATAAACCCACAAATCTATCGTCATCCAGTTTTTGACAAGTATGCCAATACCACTCAATGGTGGAAAGAATGGTCTTTTTCACAAATGATACAGGGACCACTGTATATCCACCTCCAAAAGAATGAAGTTGGACCCCTACCTCACACCATATATAAAAAATTAACTCAAAATGGATCAGAGACCTGAAAGTAAGAGCTAATACAATAAAAATTTTAGAAGGAAACAGAAGAGTAAATCTTCATTACCTTGAGTTCTTTAAGATACAATACTGAAAGCACAAAAGACAAGAGAAAAAATAAATTGGACTACATCAAAAGTTAAAACTTGTATGCTGCAAATGATATCATTAAGAAAATTAAAAGACAACCCCTTCATCTGAGAGAAAATATTTGCAAATCATATATCTGATAAAGTTCAGTATCCAGAATATATAAAGAACTCTTAAAATTCAACAATTAAAAAAATCCATTTTTTAAAAATGGTCAAAGGATTTGAATAGACCTATCTCCCTAGAGGGTACATAAATAATCAATAAGCACATGAAAAGATGCTCAACATCATTAGTCATTAGGAAAATGCAAATCAAAATCACAGTGAGATATTAACTCACACCGACCAGGATGCTACTATTTAAAAAAAAAAAAAAAGACAAGGAATAATTGTTGGGGAGGATGTGAAGAGATTGGAACCTTTATATATTGCCAGTGGGAATGCTAAATGGTTCACCTGCTTTGAAAAATAGTATGACAGTTCCTCAAAAAGTTAAACATGGTGTTACCATATGACCAGGCATTTCATTCCTAGGTATATATCCAAGAAAATGAAAAACCTATGTTCACACAAAAACTTGTACATGAATGTTCATAACAGCATTGTTCACAAGTCAAAAAGTAAAAATAACACATATGTCCATCAAAAGAGAAATAGATAAACAAAATATGGTACATCCATACAATAGAATATTATTCAGCAATAAAAAGAATGAAGTATTGATCCATGCTACAATACAGATGAATCTTGAAAAATTATGCTAAGTGAAAGAAGATGGACACAAGGGCCACATGTTTCCATTTACACAAAATGTCCAGAATAGGCAAATCCCTAGAGACAGAAAGGAGATTAATGGTTGTCAGGAGATGGGTAAGGGAGGAATGAGGAGTTACTGCAAATGAGTATGGGGTACATGAAAATGTTCTAGAATTAGAACATTTAGTGGTGATGGTTACATAGCCCTTTGAGTATACTAAAACCCACAGATTTATATACTTTAAAATGATACATTTCATGGTATGTGAATTATATCTCAATTTGTAGAAAATACATAAATATACTGTTAAGACCACCTCATATTTATTTAGTTCCACTTTTTAACTCCCCTAACTAGCCTTCCAAAATCACCTAAAGCTTATCAACAAAACCACAATGCTTACAATTGATCCATCAATTTAGTCAAATATCCAGTTACTACTTCTCACTCCCCTCCCTAGCCACTCACTTGAATCTTGGCATGGTGAAGACATGTTTAACCTCACTTGCGTGGTTTTAAACAGAATAAGATGTGAATTACTAAACTGAGAAAGGGAAAGGCAGAAAAGATTTAGAAGAGGCAATAAAAAGAAGGTATCCACCCTTTCATCCCCAGCTACCCCTTAGAAAACTTTTGAGGGGATCAGGAAATCACATCCAAAAGCTAATAAAAATTAGCTGATAACAATTCTCATTAAGTTAAATGTTCTAATTCCTCAAATCTTATTTCACACATAGCAGCTTTTCCATAATTTGATATGAGTCTGATCCCCATGCAAGTATGTTCTTCACAAGAGACCTCATTCTTACATACATGAAAAGTAAAATCTAAAAAACATATAGTTCAGGGGACAATAACACAACAGAAGGATGACTCACAGGTTAAAAGGATTCCCTAACCGAATTCCTATACACATCCATTATTGTGTATATGAAATATGAAATTTACAAAAAATTTTTTCATACTAATGTTTGGAAACCTATTTATTACAAAAAGGGGATGCACCTAATTATTTCTTGCATGCTACAATGCTCCTATCTCTGCCATGCACTGCAGCAACAGAAAAGTGCATAAATAAAAACTGTATTTAAGAAAGACACAAACATACATATGCTCGATTACTTTCCGACCTTTTTACACTGAGTGACTGGAAGAGCTAATTAAAGGTGATTTCCCTTATGTAAGCCAAAGCTCTCAAGAAGGGGACGATGACCCATTATTCTAATTTTAAAACTATACTATACTTATATAATTTGTATTATTATTTTTTTAAAAAAACCTTCCAATGGTAAAGATTATCGAATGAATAAAAATACAGGTAAGAAAAAAAGACAAAAAAAAACAGGTAAGAAGTTAGGCAGTTTATCTCAAAACAAAAAAAATCTAAACTTTCCACTTCTGTTCAATGAACAAAAATAAACAGCCTTTCACATGGACCTGAAAGCTAAACCTTATATTGATTTCATAATTTTGCATTTTACTTCCAAATGTTTCACATGAAAGAGTGGCTATGGCTAAAAAAATGAGGAAAAAAAGATATACACAGCTGTGGCCACACACACAATTCTCTTGTATCAGAGTCGAGGATTTAAACTCAAATACTGCTCTCCACTAAGGAAGTAAAATTCTCCTGCCCTCTGCACTGTAGAGAAGGAAAGCATGCAATTCCATTGGAGCTCCAAGATCAAGTTTGTAACATACAGTTAAAAAGCAATATGTTAAGTTGAATAAATCCCTGTATTTTATTTTATTTTTTAAAATATGGAACTCTTCGGGGCTTCCCAGGTGGCGCAGTGGTTGAGAGTCCGCCTGCCGATTCAGGGGACACGGGTTCGTGCCCCGGTCCGGGAAGATCCCACATGCCACGGAGCGGCTGGGCCCGTGAGCCATGGCCGCTGAGCCTGCGCGTTCGGAGCCTGTGCTCCGCAACGGGAGAGGCCACAACAGTGAGAGGCCCGCATACCGCGAAAAAAATAAATAAAATATGGAGCTCTTCATGAATTTGCGTGTCATCCTCGCACAGTGGCCATGCTAATCTCTGTATTGCTCCAATTTTAGTATATGTGCTGCTGAAGCGAGCAAAAATCCCTGTATTTTAATACAGCAAAACACCTGTCATTACTAACACTTCTTTTCTCTAACGGAAAAAAAAAAAACATTTTATAACATTAAACACTACAAGTGGCCTCCACTCTGTCATGGGCAGAATTATATAATTATTTCAAAACAATTAAAGTAATTGAAGTCTAGGAGGGGAAAACCTACCAAGTACAAAGTCATGGTAAATTTTAGTTTTAGTTTCAATACAACATTGCATAAATTAAGTAAAAGCACTACTCCAGACATAAATGATATAGCATTACTTAGTCCTGGTAGGTGAACTCCAAATAATATATACTCCCTCTGGCTTTCATCCACTAAGTGTATATTGGTATAGTGTTGATAGTTTAAAATATAAATCAAAGGATGCTCATCAAAGCTACATAAAATTAATTTGTTCAAATTATAGCATAAATGCAGATTATCCAATTCAATTCCGTAACAAATAATAAACTCACAATTGAGCTACACCAACAGTCAAAAGTTTAAGTGCTTATTGGGAATGTCTGGGAGAATTGGAAAAATCTGAAAGTTTAGGCATAAGTGTGGAATTGCTAAAAGAAAAATAAAAGTTAATGACAGAATGGGACAATATAATCGTGCTTGTGGATGACATTTCACAAGTCTATGGAAAGCTCAACAGCGCGGGGCAGCAAATTATTAGTTTACTTTTCAGGGACAGAACTGATATGCCCAGTCCTCCAAGTACAGATGGGTCTGAAAAGGCAGGAAGCAAAACACCATATGAAAGCATGCTGAACAGAGAAGTGTATGAAACCTTCCCAGACCAAAATGGAATTTTTCCAGAACATTCCATTAAAGCTTCAACCCATGTTACTTCCTCTTCAGTTATGACATTTCTCAGCCTGGCCCTTCTAAATAATGCAATGATAAACTATGAAATAACTGCACTTATTTGCATGTATGTGAATGAGTGACAACTGTGAAGTTTTGCAATTTAAAAACTCTATTGAAGGGCTTCCCTGGTGGCGCAGTGGTTAAGAATCCACCTGCCAATGCAGGGAACACGGGTTCAAGCCCTGGTCCGGGAAGATCCCACATGCTGCAGAGCAACTAAGCCCGTGCGCCACAACTACTGAGCCTGCGTTCTAGGGCCTGTGAGCCACAACTACTGGGTCCATGTGCCACGACTACTGAAGCCCACGTGCCTAGAGCCCGTGCTCCACAACAAGAGAAGCCACTGCAATGAGAAGCCCGCACACCACAACAAAGAGTAGTCCCCGCTCGCCGCAACTAAAGAAAGCCTATGCACAGCAACAAAGACCCAATGCAGCCAAAAATAAAATAAATAAATTTAAAAAAACAACTCTATTGAAAATCTGAGTTCCCTATACACTGGTCCCAAGTCCTCCTTCCTGACATCTAGAGCATCTAAAAGCAACATCTGATTTATTTTATTTTATTTTTTTGCGGTACGCGAGCCTCTCACTGTTGTGGCCTCTCCCGTTGCGGAGCACAGGCTACGGACGCGCAGGCTCAGCATCCATGGCTCACGGACCTAGTCACTCCGCGGCAATGTGGGATCTTCCCAGACCGGGGCACGAACCCGTGTCCCCTGCATCGGCAGGCGGACTCTCAACCACTGCGCCACCAGTGAAGCCCCTGATTTTTATATGACCTATAAAGAGGGGCCCCAAAGTCCCAAAGAAAATATTTTTAAGAGAAATCCTTCGTGCCTTCTGAAGTTACCAAAAAAAAAAAAAAAAAAAGTATGTCCAAAGAGTACTGAATCAAAAGTCTGAAAACCAGGTTTCTGAGGTGTGCTCTGACACTAGGGTGACCAAGTGTCCAGTTCACCTGAGACTAAGCTATGCGTTAAATTTGGCGTTATATATGCTTAATAGCAAAACAGAGCTAGGAGTCTTCAGTTTTTTATTTTTCATTTCTATACTAAAGAGGAAAAATAAGCTGCTTCTAGAAAATATCAAGCCAACAGAGAAAATTCTTCCAATACCAACATCCAACTTAATCCCATCTCTCCTCCTCCCAGATCATTGGAGACCTAGGACATCTGGACAAAAGTTTAAAAACAGGAAATATTATTTTGACTTACTGCCACCATGAAAGAATACATTTCCACATTTTTAAGAAAGTAAGAACTTAGAAACGTGTGCTTACAAGTAACTACAAAACCCAGGAGAAAAGCAAATGCAACTGTAGCAACCAGCAATAACAAAAGAGTCATAAAGAGCCTGTGCTCTGCAACAAGAGAAGCGCACTGCTATGAAGAGTAGTCCCTGCTCACTGCAACTAGAGAAAGCCTGCACGCAGCAACGAAGACCCAATGCAGCCAAAAATAAATAAATTAAATAAATAAATAAAAGATAAAGAAGACCTTGAATTGTTAGAGTATATTTACTTTCAAATATGTTTCCTAATTTTGGACCTTTAATTCTGAAAAATCCCACTTAAAAGGATACAGAACAAGTCATATATTATAAGATCAAGTCACATAAGCTCACGTGCAGTACAATGAGAACAAACATTCGGGATTCCTCTTTCCTCCTTGGGCATTCTAATTTAAGATACCTGACTTACTGAGACTAATATAGGTCCTAATGAAAGCATTTCTGCCATGAAGACTGAGTTATGAGAAATTTCTGAAAGTACAACTATGAAAGAAGTGTTACTCAATTATTATTTTTTAAGGCAGTAACTCAGGGAAAGCTATAAGAAAATGCCTCTGTTCCTAAAAAACTACAACATCCATGATATATATTTTTTTCACTCATGAATGAACTATTCTATCAGGTCTCGTCATCATCCTTACTACACGGGTGGCTGAACTGACATTAGCATTTATCTAACATGCTCCTTTATGAGAACTGGTCTTATGAAAACTTTGGCATCACCAACAAGAGATTTCTTACTAGTTACTTAAGGGCAGCCTCAAAGTCTGCTTGTGTATTTACATGTGTGACTCTACACATACCCATACAGGTATACAGTTCTCCTTGTCTCTTCAAAAAGCAGTTTCTCTTCCCAAATCAGTCAACAGTTTGTGCCCAAGTCTATGTCTATCACATATGCTGTGGGGACATGAAGGTGTGTGTGAGAGAGAGGATCCCAGCCCTCAAGATAGTTATACTTTACCTGCGGAGACAAGACTTATATTCTCATGAAGAGTTCTCAGTGCCAGAAAAATTGCTGGCTGTCTTATTCTTGTTAGTAATGTGGGGGTGCTATCACCTGCCTATTATTTGCATAAATCACAAAGCCTTAATCAAAATAGGTTAAGAAAAAATAAATCCATGCTATTTATTTCAAATATATTAAAATTATACAATAAATAACAGAGCTTATTTTGAGTATGTAATAAGTAACATACCAGTGTGCAATAGTAGGCAAGATGGGGCGAGAGTCGTAATGGCCAAAATATCACTTAAATTCAGGAAAGGAAATTAGGGAAAAGGAATGGTTTCGCTATTATTACCTCAGCAGTGACAACAGCAAAGAGTGTGGTTTCTCAAGGCTTTTCTTAAAACCCAGAGGTGTGTTAAGAATAAGCTGCTGGGCTAGGTTCCTAGAGATCTAGGTTTTAGCCCCAACTCCTTCACGATCATATCCTCTCTTGCCCTGGTTTTCTACCCATACTGCTTGAGGCTGCAACTAGATGATGGCTAATATTCCTTTAATGAACATGTCTGGTAACCCTTTCTTTGATAAATATATCCAGGTCCCCTTTCCAACTCCTCTGCTCCCCCTCCCACCCCCACTAAATTACAGTGTGTAACATTAAATTATTCACGAATCTATGACTTTAATTTTTTGTGTTTCTATACTGACGGCTTTACGGCAACTGGTTAACAAAGCAAAATCCTAATTCAGATTGCTAAAATTCAGCAGCAAACAATCATCAATTTTACATTATCTAGTCCTAATAACCTAGCCAGATTAGTATGGCATATTATTCAACATTGTTACAAGAAGTTTTGGCATAGCTATAATTGACAGTGAGGAAGATCAGCTCAAATAATTATGTATTCATTGTTTTTAGCTGACTTAAAATTGGCTTGGCTACACAGCAACCAAGAGCAAGGAAATAATTTCTTTTCTTATGATAATCTAGTGACAACATCTAAGTATGACTTTGGTATAAAACGGCTACATAAATATCCTTTCATCTTAAGTCTTATTAAAGCCATGGTGTTTGGCAAAAAAAAATTAAGAGCAGAAGAAGATAAGTATGGGTTGTAATATCAAACTATTTCCATTATCATTTTAATGTTGGAAATCTTGTTTGGACATCCAAATCTTAGGATAATTATCACCTAGTAACAGCAATGAATTCAAATAAAATGAACTCCAATAAAATGCTAAACAATACAAATACTCTTTTTAGTCATATCAGGACAGAGAAAAAAGAAATCCAAAATGGAAAAGGAAGAACACACTCAATCTTCCATATGAAGCTGTATGATAAGGTGAATAATAGAAGCAAACATAAATCAGATAATTGAGAAATATGCTGGAGAAGTTTTTCAAATACTATTCTTGCTTGTATCTACTAGCTCCACTATACAGTTTAAAATGTGGCCAAATTTTTAAAGTAGTTGTTAAACACTTCCTGCATCTGACATATGTTTCCAGGGTACTTCTGACATTGATATGAGAGATTATAAAACATTTAGAAATGAAAATGTTACTCTCCAACAAAAAACACTATAACTTCCAAGCTTCCTCTGCATTCACAAGACGGAAAAACATTTGGAAAATAGTAGCTTTCGGTTTTAAAATGTTCAAATAATATACTTTACAACAAACACAAAACGTGTAATTGTTCAAGGCAAGGAAGAGACAAGTCTAAATAAAACAGGATCCTAAAATTTACTCTAGGAGTCATTCCTTTTCCTGTGCAGTCTCAATCATATTTACTCCATAATAAGTAAACTGCTTTACCCCTTCAGCTGGGAAGGACAGTTTTAACTCTACCAAGGTGATGACAGTACCACTGCAGTGCT